CCCCAAAACCCCAAAACCCCAAAACCCCAAAACCCCATAAAAAGGAAGCCAGATTGATATTTCAAAATTATAATGAGCAAAGGTAAGTGAGACTTCCACCATACTTCTGTCATTCTAGAATTATTCTTTTTCGTGGTTTGACTTGCTTATAGCTATTGCAACATACAAATCAGCAAACCTTACAAAAGCAGATATTGAGTCTCTTGATGATGAGATGTGGGTGACCGACCAAGTCATCAACTTCTTTTATGAGTATCTAAATGAGTACTTCCAAGAAGGAGACAAAATAAAATTTCTTGATCCAGCATGAGTTGCATTAATGTATCACATGACCGAAATAGAGAGTTTATTTGAAGTTTTCATGCCTCTCAAACTTGACAAAGCAGATGTGATTTTTTGACCTATCAATGATAACCAATGTAAGTGTGATTCGAGTTTGGCTAATTTTTAAGATTTCTAGAAAATTCTTGAAATTTTTGGTATCTTCAAAAGTTATTAACTTTCTATAGCACCTTTCAAGACTGGAGGCACTCATTGGGCACTGTTGGTTTACTTAAAAGCCACAGATTCATTCCACTACTTCGATAGTGCAGGAGGAGAGATATCAAACCGTCGTTCAGTTGCTTCCAAACTAAGAGCTTTGATCTCCAGGAGAAAAGAATCTTATTTCATGAAAGAACTGAGTTCAGAAGTAGAGACTTTCCGACCAGGACCAAGACAAGAGAACTCTTACGACTGAGGCTTATTTGTAATGGCTACCACACTATATCTAGTCAGCATGTACAAGGCCAACCGAAGGCGGCTCAAGAGCATTGACAATTTCGAGCTTATCCAGCATGTCAACCAAGATGAAGTCGGAGAAATGCGTCAATACATTCGGGATTTAATTTTTGATGTTTGCTGAATTTCAGACAAATACACTCTAAATAAAGTCTTCTAATAATCTTAATAATTTTCAATGCTAAACAGCAGTGTAGGGGTTTTGGGGTTTTGGGGTTTTGGGGTTTTGGGG